GGGTAGCGCTATAGGGTCATCATATTGTCGTCGGTTGGAGACAGTCATGGTTGTTGAATTGAACCAGCCGATTTCACAAATATCTTATAACGAATGAGTTATTGATTGCCATGTTCAAACGCCGTATACATTGTTAGAGCCTTGTTTATATATCATGAGTCCGCTATACGACTTCCACCAAAAACAACTACGCTACCTTTTCATCCTTAAGGTTGTCGCAGATACGGTTGTCGTTTGTCGCATAGCTTTTTACAAAAGTTAAAACTTTTTTTGAGGAGTGCTATATGGCAGAGCATGAGTTCTTGTGATTTGATGGAATTCTAAGCTCACACACAACGTCGGCAGTTGTATCGCAAACCACTTTGCTGCAAGGATAAGAAAAAAATCCTCCAAAGTTCTTTACCATGTTGCAAAAGTACATCTATTTCTGTTCGATTTATGCTTGGTAACATATTACGCTCGAAAGCTCATCAGAATCGTGGAAGTCATTTAGTATGAACTTGTGTTTGAAAAGATCTATCTCTATCCAGCTTCGGATCACGTTCATATCACTAAGTCCCAGACTTTTCTTCCTAAAGACATCCATAGCATCGTGACACGAGGAGTCAGTCCACGGTGAAGTATGGTGACCTGCAAGAGGCCGATCAGCGCCCATTACCCCCATAATCGAACGTCTCTGATGTGACTCTGTATTGAACAAGCATCCAACTTGCGGCAGTTTCAGTATGCTATGATCGTTCCAGACCACATTATCAGACATCATGTCATAACGCTCTAACTTTAATTCTAAGGAAGGAGTTTTGCGATTCATCTATTCAATTAGAGCTTTTGTTTGAGATTTTCAATGGGAAGTGTTGTCATCCATTGAAATGTAGAAGGGAACTGCGGCAGGCAGTTTGGAACGAGTTTCTGCAGAGAAATCCGTGCCGCGGAGGTGCTTTTCGTTAATCCGTACGTACATGAACAGTGACCGAATTTGCATGAATTGTGATCAAAGCCAAATGTATCAGTGAAACTCGTTCCTATACGCTGATTTGCACTAAAAAATCGTGAAAATAGAATCAATGATTTGTAAAGGGGAATTCATCCTAATGATTTTCTTTAAATGCTGACCAGCACTTTATTAACTGATGCTCTCCGCGGAGTGAACACAACATTAGTATTCGCTGCAGGTATTAGCATCGGCAGTATGACCAAACTTTACGCAAAAAGCTTGCAAGTTTCGGAAGTGTGCAAACCAGACAGCTATTGCCTGGACGCAGTGAAAATGCACAAAAACTGCACCACTGTATTCCGTTGATTGAACTTTTCCTTATGGTTCACCCCTGAGGTTAGCAAGTCCAATTGTCTTAGCGTATTGTCTTGCTGCCCAGCACGTTCATTGTTGCAGCCATCCTCTCATTTAGTTGAACAGTTCGCTGATATGAATTTTCTGTATTTTTCCATTTGCTTTGCTCGTTGAACTTTGCAGCATTGTTAACTTAATATGCACCACCTCTCTTAAATGTTCACCGAAACATCCCTCCCGAAAACTGCCTCCTTTTCTCCTCTCCCAGTAACTCCAAGCGCCAAATCGATTACCCGCTTTTGTAATCGTCGTACTTTGTTTTATTTTCTAACTCTTCGGACACACCTTTCCAAAATGACATTGACTGCCACTGAGTCCTTTGTCCTCTCTATAGCCTTTCCCGGTTGTTGGCAGATTGTTGTTGGCTTGCTGTTAATCGAATATTGCACCACACATACACGTGCTCTGCATAACACCCAGCATTTGTATTAGTTTGAAGGGTAGTGCAGTTTTTATAATGTTTTGTATGCATTAGAACGGTCGAGTTTCAAAATTTCCTTTTTAGCTTTGCATATCTGTACGGATGGTTCTAGCTTGATACAGCACTACGTAACTCTTTTAATATGCTCTTCTGCGACGTTAATCTCTTACATCTTCAGTTTGCGTTTTTTTACCTTCGTAGATGGATGCTTTCAAAATAATTACCAATGTCATCTGTGACGTTGTATAAATGAAAGTAGTTAATAATCAATTCAGTGGCATTTACCATAGACCGAATGTACTTAGAGAACTTTGTATTGATAACGATATGTCCGGTTCGTGTTTGCTTAAAGACAGCGTCCGTCGACGTAGAAAACGGGACACGGATTTGTGTCACTGCAAAGTAAGTCGTGAATTCAAAAACTAGCGGCATCTATCGACCAAAGAGTGATGTAGGTTGAACATATGCTTGAGCGTTTTTGGCAATTCAGCCTAGCCAATACAGGTCTGAAATATTTTAGATTTTTTGCTGTCTAGGAGCTGGGAGGCAAGCGTGTCTTTTTCCATTCGTGTAAAATCCGTAATGTTGTCAGCCAGGCAGTTTATTAAGACAGCACATACTAATTGTCTAGTCGACTAGAAATAAATGTAAGTCAGTAGTGACATATCTCGTCGTATGTCTTCTCTGTCCATTTAATCAAGGCGGAGTAATGGAGATAACGGTCTGCAAATGTCATGGAATGAGCGATGGATGCAATGGGGCGAACAGATAAGAGTCAGCATATCGGCCAAGTTGCATAATGCATCTGAACAGATAGCATCCATTTTCCGTTTTTAGAAGGGGTGTCAGTCAGTCAATATAAGGTCCTACGTTTATTATTTGAATGCATACTTGCCTCAATACCGTATTAATTACTGAATTATCACATCTAAACGCAGTAACGTTACTTTTTTACGGATGTATTGGTAACCTTGCCTGCTAAACTTCAAGTAATTTGATCATTCAGTAGAGTGAGAACGCATCTAAAATATTCTTATTTGGCTTTAGGTTTTAAGACTAATGGATGAGAAGTAGTATTTTTATATCTAAAAATGCATTGTTGTATATCTTATCTCTTTTTCATGGATCATATTCAAGATAAGTCAGAAATATATGGTTGACTATGAATAATGCTCTTGTGAATAACATCCTATCTTCTTTTGTCTTTTGGTGCTTGAAAATTATTTCCATTTCGTCTTTAAGCGTCGTCAAATTGTATTGGCTTTGAGGGACTTTCCCAGATTGCGAATCTTTTAGGAGGAATGTCAGAACGACGTATTGACGTGAATCGCAGCAACTACTCAGTTATTGACAATGAGTTTGGCAATATGAGAGATCGATTTGAAGCGGAGATGCGACGTGTAGAGGATGAAATGAAGCGCCTTCGCCAAGAGTTTGAAGGTGTGTCTCTAAAATTGATTAGATTTTCTGTATCCGAGTTCCGTTTATAGTGTTCGAAAGCGTTGGGCTTTGCCGAAACATATTGTTTATGTTCGCATAGATTGTTTTCGAGAAAGTTCCCAGTCTGCTATTCATGCGCTTCCTGATGCTTTTTAGTTCCTCCAGGTTCGGACTCCACTTTTTAGAAAGATTATGGATTTGAAACGCTTTTATGTGCTTATATGTCCAGTCAGC